ACCAGCATCAAGTCTGATCACGTACCATCCTCTGTTTTTATACATAGAGGAACCGAAATTATTACGGAAAAATGTCGATGCACTTTCTAAAACTTTATTTAACGGAACTTCATTTATTGGGGAGTCTCTGTAGTAAATTAAATTATCTGATTCACTGATGGACGCAAACGCACAAGGATATTGTATTTCTGCTATACCCACGGCCCAACTACCACTTAATCTTATACGTTTTGGCAACTGTGTAACAAAATGCGAAGTTGTATTGGTAGGAAAATAATCAAGTGAGCTGTTGCTTAACAAGGTAATGTAGAATTCTTCTTCCATTTTTATATGTTTTTGAGTTCTGCCGCAGAAATCCAAGAATTGAATTTGTCACTATAACCTCGCCACTTCACTAAATATTTTTTGTTTTTTCCTCTTCCTTTTTCTTCCAAAATCTCGTCAATTTTAAATACTGTATCTTCGTCTATCGTAACAGCCTGCAGTTCTTCCTCATAAAAAGTCCCTTCTATATCTTCACCGCTTAAATCCACTATTCTGTACACAGGCGGACGTCTCTTTATAACTTTAATAATTTTAAACACCTCTTGACTAAAGTTACTCTCATATCCCTTTTCAAAATGATATTTGGTTCTGGTGATTCTCACGTGTTGTCCCACTTTATATATAGGTCGAGTTTCTTTACCAAAACCCTTCGCGTAGAGGTTCTGCCAAACTTTCAAAATGTTTTCTTCGTTCACATCATCAGGCGCCATCTTGATCGAAGAATGATAGGATTTGTTATATGCAGACACCAAATCTTGTAGAACGTCCACGTATTTGAATGTGTTCTTATATGTAAAGTAGCGGTGCATTTTCGTCTTTAATGTGCGATTCAGCCGTTCGATTATGCAAGCTTTTACGTCGGGATTATGGGTTACATAATAATTTATATTGTATTTTTTAAAAAATTGTTGTACGCTTGCTGCCACAAACTCTTTTCCTTTATCAGTTTGTATATTTTCAGGTGTATTGTCACATTCTTCAAAAATGGACGAAAACGCCTCAATTATAGAATTTGCGGTTTTTTGCTTGAGAGGTCTTGCCCATGCTTTCTTACTGAATACGTCAATGACCGTTAATATGTAATTATAGCCTCTGTTGTTTTTCGCTAGGCTTCTCATATCACAAAGATCGGCTTGCCATAATTCAAACATGTTGTTAACTATGTATTTGTTGCGTTGAAATTTTCTTTTAACGGGCTTGTGCACAGTATATGCTTCTTGTTTTTGTAACCATGCTTTTACATCCTCAGTTGAATATCTATTTTTTAACGCTGAAGACAAGGAGGAAACTCCACCGAATCCGGCAGGATGTGAAGGATCATAATATATGCTTTCCATCTACTTAAAGTTTAAAGGTTTTCCATCCGGGAATATGCAATCGTTTAGAAGTATTCCATCCACCTCGCTGTAGCCCACCAGAACTTTTGGAACGTTTTCTCGTATCCGGTTGCTTAAGTGCACTTCTCGTCCGTTTTGTGGTAACGTCTTGAACAGGGTTCACAGTAATTTTTGGGCGTTTCGAAATAATGTCTTCGGTTTTTACAACACTTTGTTTTTTGCCAATAAATTCTTGAGGAACATTAATTTCTTTTACGAAATCTGCAAACTGTCGGCCACCTTCTGGATTTGTTGATTGACGCGGTCTTACTGTGTCGTGTATTAAGTCAATAATATTCGATGACGGGATTACTTCGCCTTTTATTGTGACAATTCCTCTATTGTCCCATAAAATATCACCCGAAGCGTTGAGTATTCGTAGAAAACTTTCGGCTTTTTTCTTAAAAGTTTGTGGCATTGAAGCTATTATTTCATCTTGTGATATTCCCGTAGGCTTTGTTTCAATTGCTATGCTTACAGGTTTTCGCATTTGTTCCGAAAAATGTAAATATTTTTGTAAAACTTGAGAATACTGTTGCCACTTTTCATACGGACTTAAGTTAGAACTTAATACTTGGGACATTTCATCATCAATTTGCGATAAAACATCGTCTTTCCTAGTTTCACCAGCTTTAATTCGTTGCATAACTTCCTGCGGCACGAGTAACATTTTCTTTGCGTGTTCCATGATTATTGAAAAAGACTTCCGAGTAAGCCGCCAAGTAACGGCCCTAGCACAAATGGCAAGAATGCACCTCCGTTTTGAATTAGTATCTGTTTCTTCTTTTTTATCTTTTCACGGGACGTTACCATACGCCGTAAGATGGTTTTATGACGAGCGAGACTTCGCTTCTGATCAGCGGTCAAATCGACTTGTCCTTTTAAAGTGTTGTAAATACACTCACATATGCAAGCAATTTGATTATCGTCCAAACATTTTATCAACGCCAACCGCTCCTTTGATCCCAAATTTGAGAGAGCACGCAGCAACTCGGAATGTTTCGTCAGCTTTGATGTCATTATGAATGCACCAATTGATCAAGATTCAAACCTTTAATACCCTTTTTCGGTATATATACCACACAGGCGCCATCTTCTTCGAATATCGATGTTCTATAGCGGAAAACATCCGGTGTACTTTGTTTTAAATCGAATAACAGATATCCGTGGGGTTTAGACGTTGCATCATTATACGCTTCTTCTAAAAATTTGGAGTTTTCAGGGCAAATTTGCCGCGTTAAATGCTTTATTTGTGCCCGATCTCGGGGATTTTTGAATAAAATAATGTAGTGTGCATTTAAAGATATATCTCTCTGTCCTTTTCCTTGATGAAATATGTTTTGGGTTAGAAAGAAAACACTGAGGTTACGATGATGACATCCTTTTGTAAAAAATGTCAACAATAGCTCCATTTGATTCACGCATTAAATCATCAATAATTATCAGTACAGGTTTTAAGCCATCGAAACTGGACATATCGGGTAAGCCTTGATGGAATTCAACACCTTTTAGATCTTCGTACAATGACTGCCATTCCCCGTAATGCCAAACTATTTTTTCAAACAGTACAGAGCAGATGTTTGTTATATTTTTTAGAAAGTTTACAATAAAATAACTCTTTCCCGACCCGCTTGGGCCACTTACAAGAGCGGAAAATGGATGAAGAAATTTATTTTCCATTGTAATGTCTCGAAGTATAACACCAAACTGATTAAAAGAATGTAGAACTTACATTTATATTTATTTACATTTATTTGTACAAGAACCTATCATCATAAGTTTGCATATAATCCTCTATCTTATCAATCACAAAATACGGATACTTATGGACTAATTCATGTATAACTAAAGGTTCAGTAGTTAAATTTGTTAGCAAATCGTTATAACTCACATCTTTTTGCTGACGTCTATCCAGAATGTCCACAACTTTTTCTACAAAGTTTTTGAAAGGACAATCATTACCTTCCAAATAATTACCCAAATAATTAAGCTTCTGACGTAAGTAGTCTGCCATAGCGATCACTTTTTCCAGGGTGACGAGTCCCAAGTACAGTTCACAGTGGATTTCTTTCTTCGAAATGATACGCGCAGCTTTATATTTTCTGCAGCACCGTACATGAAAATCTTCTAGATCGAAAGTTTCATCTTCTTCCTCGCGCGTTACTGCTCCGACGATGTCTTCTAATTCGCTTAAAAAACTCTCGAAGGCACTCTTTGAAAAATATATGCTCCGATCCTTGCCTTGTATCTTGACACAGGGGCAATCTTCAAATACGTCTAGACCCACTTTCAGGATTTTGGATCCACTATTATTTAGATTTAATGTCGACTCACTGAGTAATTGCTGTCGTTCTTTATCCATAAACTTGTTATGTATGCGCTTACGGTCTTGTGTTGATAAACAAAAATCTTCGTGTCTGGGCACTGGATTATTGTAAGATGAGATGTTGTATTCCTTCATAACTTCCCTGTCGAATGCTCGGTGATCATCCTCTGTGTAGCAGAATTCTGGCGATGATGCAATAGGCTTGTAGTAATTGAGTGTCGTCGACAACTTTTCAGCAGTACGAGGATCTCTGGGGTTTGTTGATGGACGAGAATAAGGTTTGCTGTACGAAAACATAATCTCTAACGAAATGTAAAATTAGAAAACAATTGCAACAATTTAATTACCAATTAGAAAACAATTGCGACTATTTAATAATCAATTATATAAAAAAACAGAGGCGATTGAACTTACTTGTAACTTTGAACTAGTACACTGACACAATATCACGTTGAACACTGAACTGAACACAAATGAGAACGAGTTGCAACCCTCATCAGCTTTATAAACACCGCGTAACTGTAAATCTAATACGTCACTATAATCGCGAATTAAATTAAAAAACTGAGTCATAGTTGTGCAGGTGACGATGAGTCATAACGAGAATAAAAGAAAATGATTGACGTGGTGCCATCAAGACGACCACAAATACAAAAGATGTGGTTATTCATGCGGCAAACAGGTTTAGCGAGTTATGAGTCATACTTGTGCAGGTGTCCTGAACAAAAAGAAAGCACTTATCCGCCCAGCGTGAACTAAGTGCCTTTCCATGTAACCGGAAGTAGAAACAAAAGAAATTATTGACGTGGCGCCATAAAGACGGCCACAAGCACAAAAGATGTGGCTATTCACGCGGAAAACAGGTTTAGCGAGTTATGAGTCATGCATTTTAAACAATAGATCGTGTTTAATCAAGCGGAAAACCGGTTTTAGGAGAACAATAGAGCGTTCGGTAATGTTCGGAAGGGATCGGATTCTATTTTACCTGCTCTGATATAAAGATCTTATTTTCGGGGACTCGGAATTACTTGCGTTCTTACATTTGTACGTGCGTATTTTCTCGAGTTTTACGTGATCTTTGTGTTTGTGCTTTGTGTGTGTATTTAAACTTGTGCAATGGCCTTTCCGAGGATGCCATGGTTAAGGTGTGTGAGCAGCTACACAATATGATAACTTCCGGTTAAGTGATTCCTGAAGAAGAAGACATTGTGCACTTCAGGCGTCTTCGTGATGTAGTGGGTACCATTCAAACGCGCCTGCTTCAACAAAATGTGGTAAGTTTTTAATATTTGTACACTTATAAATTTCTAAATATAAATTTCTTTGTAGAATTCCCATCACGTTGCTGCTATAGCAAACAATCCGCAGTCGCAGCCCTCGACCTCTGTGTGAAAGTAAGTTTATTTAATTTTTAAAGTTTCGTTTTCTAAATGTTGTTTATTTGTACAGAATGAAGTTTCGCCGTCCACTAGCCGTCAGCTTCAAGGAGAGCAATCTCAGCCCCTTGATCTCACTGTAAAAGTAAGTTCATTTTATTTTTTTTTGGAAACTTGTTGATACTTTAATTGTAAATTTCATTACAGCATCCACCGTTGCCATCTGCCCCTGGCGACTACAAACCCCAATCGCAACCCCTCGATCTCTGTGTGAAAGTAAGTTTACTTTAATTTTAAAAGTTGCTTCATATGTTAATTGTACATTTCCTTACAGCATCCACCGCAACCTTCAACTTCCGGCGCAAAGCCTAAGCGAAAGCATGCTGCTCCGTGTGTAAATAATGTAAGTTGAATAATAATAATAATTTTCAAGTGCGCAAGTTCTAAATGATAACGTCTTTACAGATTCTTAACCCTCAACCATCAACATCGAGACTACAACCAACCGCACCTATAGTGCCCTGTGTAAATAATGTAAGTTTTGCTTTAATTATTCTAAACAAGGAATTTAATTAACTTCTTTGCAGCTGAACTCCGAACCCTCTACTTCGGGTCTACACCAATTATCACCCCAAGTTGGCCGTGGAGTACCTCGACGTTTCTTAGTGTTGTCAGAGGGAGAGCGGGTAATAAAGAAATTCAACTTGACAGCCCAACAGTTAACTATCAAGTTTGATGATGCGGAGCCCAATGAAGCACCTCTAGAATGGCTTAAGGTATGCATACAAATCTATTTTTATTAAACTAAACTTCATTCTGTGTATTTCTGTTACAGAAATCACTGACTGCGCTTATTAATTATATAACTAAGAGGCGTAGTGTGAGTGATCGCATTGGATTAATGCTGACAAATAGCGAGTTTCCTGACAACCCTCTTGGATTTTCATTCCGCCGTATCGACCAACTGAATGCTAACGTCATGCTGAAGACCATGGACAAGGTTATGCAAAGTAATAAGGCGTTCTTCTCCAGCGATGCACTACGGGTTGACGTGAGTCTAATTACCCTCCCTAATGGCAAGGGGCGGCAACGCATGACGGGTGTTACTTTTGAGGAGTTCTCGCAGCGAAAACACGGTATCATTCTCATTAACAACAATGATACTCTGTGCCTCGCTCGTGCGCTGGTCACCGCCATAGCTTTCCGTACCAACTCTATAGATCTGCCCTACCTGAAAGTTGGCCATGCTCTTCAGGCAGAAAAAGCTGTTGAATTGTGTGCTGCGGCAGGCGTAGATTTGAGTAACGGAGGGACCATTGAACACATACGCCAGTTTCAAGACCACCTCACGGACTATACGATCGTTGTCTACAATCATCGGATGGGCAAAACGGTGTATTTTGAAGGTCTACGATCCCCTCAGCGTCAAGTGCTAAACCTCCTCATGGAGAATGAACATTACAATGTGATTACAAGCCTAACGTCCGCGTTTAGTTGTGGCTACTTTTGTGAGTCGTGTCGTGTACGCATGAGTGAACGTAAGGCTCACAAAAACTGTAAGTACATTTGTCCCTGTTGTCACAACAATCCCCCGTGCAACAAGGATGTTGTGAACATTAAGTGCGCGGAGTGTAATCGCGATTTCCGGGGACAGGAGTGCTATCGCTATCATAAAGACCAGAATTTATGCTTGCAAGTACGTCGATGTCGGACGTGTTTAGCTACGGTATGGAAGTCGAAGAAGGCTCACAAGTGCGGTTTCAAGAAATGTGTCACATGCCAAGCTGATCGGCCAATACGTCATCTGTGCTACATGGCAAAGAATACCCCAGACCAAAAGAAATTAAGCAAAGACTTTGTGTTTGTTTTCTATGACTTTGAGTGCCGTCAGGACGAGCAGTTTGAAAATCGTGTTGACACTTACGTCCATGTGCCCAACTTATGTGTCGCGCAACAACTGTGTAAGTCATGCATCACAACCAATACAAACATTAATATCCCTTGTGATAAATGTGGTCCTCGACAACACATATTTAAACAAGACCCCGTTAATGAACTTTTAAGTCTCGTGTCCTCGTTAGCCAGGAAAAGTCGTGACGTCGTGGCTATTGCTCACAACAGCAAAGGGTATGATAGCATCTTCATTTTGAAGGAAATGATGAAAACTCCTTCAGCATGGAATCCTGACATCATCGCCACGGGCACAAAAATTACATCATTGACGTGTAATAATAACGTGCGATTTATCGACAGTTTGAACTTTATGCCCGTCCCGTTAAGTGCGCTGCCGAAAACGTTCAGTTTCCCTGGTTGTAAAGGCTACTTTCCACACTTTTTTAATACTTTGGAAAATGCTAATTACATCGGACCTTTACCCGCTCCACATTTCTACGGTGCCGAAGAAATGTCTGCTAAAAATCGCGAGGATTTCTTAAAATGGTACAACACCGAAGTGTCGCGCGGAGCAGTTTTCGATTTCCAATCGCAAATTGTGCAGTACTGTGTCCAAGACGTCAATATCTTGCGCCAGGCGTGCGTGGAGTTTTGGAGCAAGTTTGTGGAAGAGAATAAGGTGGACCCATTCCGTGAGTGCTGCACTATTGCCTCTGCGTGCAGCCTGGTGTTTCGCCGAAACTTCCTTCAAGAGGATACGATTGGGCTCATCCCACATGGCGGGTACAGGATGGCTGACAACCAAAGTGGAGTCGCCATCAAATGGCTTCTTCATCTGCAATCCACCGAGGTCCCCGACCTTCAACATGCCGGGAACACTCGAGAGGTGCGTTTACCTGAAGGAATTTTGGTCGACGGTTATTCGTCTAGCACCAACACCGTGTACCAGTTCCACGGCTGCTATTTTCACGGCTGTGAGACATGCTTCCCGGACCAGACGACGCCACTAAAGGGCAACAGAACTGACACAATGAGCACACGGCGTGAGAAGACCGAAGCTATTTCCAGCCGAATAAACTCTGCGGGATACAATTTGATTGAAATGTGGGAGTGCAACTTCAAATCATATCTCACTAATAATCCTGAGGTCGCTAACCGGCTAAATGGAAATAATGTTTTAAGGCATGAGCCCCTAAATCCTCGTGATGGTTTTTTTGGCGGCCGAACAAATGCCGTCAAGCTGTACCACAAGGCCGAAAAGGGGGGCGAAATAAGATACTTGGACGTGTGCTCCCTCTACCCCTACGTGAACAAGTATGGAAAGTACCCTCTGGGCCATCCCCGTGTACTTATAACGCCTGAAGAACTACGGACCGTCAACCTAAACACTGTAGAAGGCATGGTTAAGTGCACAATTCTTCCGCCCCAAGATCTTTACCATCCCGTGCTTCCGTACAGGTGCCACGGCAAACTGATGTTTCCCCTGTGTCGTACATGTTGCGAAACAATGCAGCAAGGGGAATGTGAGCACCCTGAAGAGGAGCGGCAATTCGGTGGGACATACGTGGCCGACGAGCTACGGAAGGCCATTTCATTGGGATACGTTATTGCCGACCTTCAAGAAGTGTGGGAGTATGAGACCACCCAATACGACCGTGCCGCAAAAAGCGGCGGTTTATTCAGCGGCTACGTCGACAATTTTCTGAAGACCAAGCAGGAGTGTAGTGGATGGCCAGCCTGGTGTGTTGACGATGAGGCGTGTATGCGCTACCTGGCAGAGTACCTCGAACACGAAGGGGTTCAACTTGACCGGACCAAGATTCAAGTGAACGCAGGTCTTCGCTATATCGCCAAATTGTTCCTCAATTCTTTTTGGGGAAAGTTTGGTCAGCGGGACAATCTCTCAAAGACTGCCATTGTCTCGGAAGCTGAGAAGTTCTTCCAAATGCTCACTGACCCGGCCGTGGAACTCAACTCGATCATTCCCGTGAACGACGAGACCCTAATCGTCAACTGGACTCTCCCGGAGGAAGCAGTCGAGCCCCTGAAGACCACCAATGTGGTGTTGGCAGCTTATACAACCGCCCATGCCCGCCTTAAGCTGTACAGCTACCTCGAGCAGCTGGGTGATCGGGTCTTGTATTTCGATACAGACTCGGTCATCTTCACTGAGAAGCCGGGAGAATGGTCGCCACCTTGCGGAAACTTCTTAGGCGACATGACGGATGAAATTGAGTGCTATGGTCCAGAGAGCCGTATTGTGGAATTCGTAAGTGGCGGTCCCAAAAACTATGCGTTTAAAGTGTTTTCCCCCAGTGCGAACAAGTATAGTGTCGTATGTAAAGTTAAGGGCATCTCCCTAAACTATAAAAACAGTGCCGTGGTGAACTTTGACTCTATTAAAGACAGTGTATTGAACAATGCCCCAGAGACCTATGTGGAAACGGACCGTCGCATAGCTCGCACGTGTGCCTTTGATGTCATCTCCAGACCGGAGAAGAAAAGGTACCGCGTCGAGTACACGAAGCGGCGTCGTTTAGAGCAGGGGTATGACACACTGCCATACGGGTATAAAACGTAATTTTTTGGGTACTTTGTAAATATTAGATTAGTTTTGTAAATAATTAGTGTAAATATTTAGTTTTTTAAGTTTGTAAATACGTTCCGTGGATTAGGCCTACAGGGGAACACCACGTTAAAAAAAACGCGCCTCAACTCTACCTCCAGGGTGGTGTGGAAACGGGTTTGTATTGTATATTTTAAATTGTAATTTGCACTTAATTTTTGATTGTAATGTTTTTTTTGTTAATTGTTGCACCATAATAAACATAATTAAAACTTGTTCATTTTCTAACTTCTATTTCAGAATAGGTAAAAGAGGGACGCAATGAGTAAGAGAGAGATAGACGCAGTGAGTAAGAGAGAAAGATAGAAAAAATTTCAAATTTCCCGCCTTTGGCGGCCATTTTATTTTTCCGCCATTTTGTTTTCAATTAGAGTTACCTGTGTGTAAATACACATATGTGTAATTATTCTTGATTATACGATCAATTTAAATTAATCGATAAATTAATTAGATCAATCAAACCGCGAATTAAATTAATCGGACCGCGGATTAAATTAAATAAGCCGCGAATCAAATGAATTAGAGGAAATTCCGAGAAATCAAAACCGCTAATTAAATTGATTAAGCCGCGAATCAAATTAATCAAACCGCGAATCAAATTAATTAAACAGAAATTCCGGGAAATCAACACGCGAATTAAATTAATTAGATCAATCAAACCACAAATTAAATTAATCCACACTAATCAATTTAATTGATGACGTCATCAATCAAATCAAATGCCAATAAAGACCAAAATCCTACAAAATTTTTATTAATTAAACCCAAATTCCAAGAAATTAAGCAAATTTCCCCCGAAAACAACCCCGCCCACGTGGGAGACCCCGCGAATCAATTTAATTGACCTTGATTGACCCGCGAATAAAATCCAAGATGGCGGCGACAGTGACCCGCTTCTACTT